AATACTTCAAATCAAAGAGCCTTCTTCGTGGTATAGCTGCTACATGATGTTATCGTACATACAGCAAGTTAGATCCCCGGTTGTTGTGTGGTACTGTGCAGTGTGAAGCCGTCAGAAACATGTTTTCCACTGTCCTTCATCGTATTGACAAACTGCTGGGGGGGTATAGGGTTTCCTGTTCGCCCCCTCCCATCCAAAGGTCTGAGCGCAGCAACTTTAACTGCTGCCTTCTCAAGTGAGGGAGCAGCTGCACTCTGAACCTGAGCCAGGAGCACAGGTGTCTGTGTCCATCAGTAACTCAGCTCACACATGCACATACAAATACAATCTGCAATCTGTATGACTTCATAACCTCTTCTTTTTCTCTTGATCTCACCTTTACATTTGGAGGTCAGCTATAAAGGTAAAATCTTGGATGATAATGATATTTAATTTTAGACTACCTTCAGACAGGCGACAAATTGAAGGCAAATCCAACATAAAATGTCTGGGTAAGGGTTTAGGAGTGGAGCCTCCAAGAAGGGGGGCCTTCACAGGTAAAATTTATTGGAGGATTGACATTACTGTCTTATTGTACGTACAAACAAGAAGCTTCCAAAGAGGCAAGGTCTCTCGCGGACGCCCAAGAAGCACGACTGTCAAAAATATTTGTGGCAGCTTTGGTCGCTCTAGTCGCTCATCACGAGAATCACTGAACGTTGGATCGTGCTTGTCAATTTAAAGGAGCCGCAAAGCGGACTACTGGCTTGAAAGCAGCGTAGTTGCTGCTTGCTGTTGTCCAGTCAAAAAGCTCATAGTTGGCCTACAGAAAGTTATGTTTGGTCAATGAAAACAGAAAATGCATGTCATCCCATTCAAACCAAGCAAGGAAGACTTGCATGCTGCATCGCAACATTAGCCTGCAATTCTCTCCTCTATTACTAACATTACACATTTTAAAACTCACCAGACCAACCAACTACCGCCGCGACGCGGTCCCAAGCCTCATTCTTTTTATTTTGGTCTCTGTAATTGAACAGCGACACAATATAAAGGACTGAGTGGGCGCGAACGCAAGTAAAAAACTTCTCAATATTCATTCTCGGAACAAGTGTGCTGTTGGAACCAAAGTTATATGGCTTGTTCTCTGGGACCCGCTTCAACGAAGCACGTCAGCATTCCAAGTGGTTGTCGCCGAACCGTGTCAGAGCTCTTTACCATAAAGTTAAACGAGCTTTAACTCCCCTCCGGACCCGCTTTGGTTGCCCCAGACGCGTGGCTGACGACCAGATCGCCCAAGTCGCTGGGCTCTCATTGACAATTAATGACTTTGGCTGTTTTGGAAGCCCTGGTCACTGTTGGTTTGAACGTATAGTTGAAGAGATTTTCAAGAGTGTGCAAAGGTAGTGGTATCCTGTGAAACTAGACAACCTATAGCATCCATTGGTACCAACCATGTTGGCATAGCTTTTTGGGAAGGGCTAAATAATGCTCCAGAGTTAAGCTAAATTTTGGCAATGGAACAACTGGCATGGCCATTTTTAAAGGGGTACCTCACCTCAAGGGATCTGAATGAAAATGGATTCTGTGGACACCCATGTGTGTCCCCTAATCTTGAGAAGGCTCGGCTCCAGTAAGTGTTTTGTTGCTCATGATCAATGTACTCCTTCAAATTAAAGCTGTATGTTTATCTTTTCAAGGAAAAGGACACCAACAACGACATAGTTTTTAATTAGCCTACATGCTAAAATAGCATCACAATTCAGTTGGGGCTTTTGGTTTTGGTCAAGGCTATTCAAGAGAAGGCTGAGACACGGGGTCAAACATGGGGGGGATTGCACATGCACAGTAAAATCTGGTCTGCACTTCCTCAAAGGCTCAGTAGATGGCGTGAGACCGCGGAATAAAGGGGATGTGCATGCATGTCATTTTCACAGCTTATTACTGGACTGTCACTGGTGGCCTGCGTTGTGGGTGAGAATGACAGAGATGCAATTCTGACAACTTCAGGCAGCCGCCGTCCAAAAGTCCAAGCAGACCGCACCAAGCGCACTCATTGATAGCCTGAGCGGATCCTGCGCTTTTTATCCAGCGCCCCTGCTGTCACCCTCCAGCATCGCAGCTCAAGTTACACTGCGCATGTGCAATCCCCCCATGTTTGACCCCGTGTCTCAGCCTTCTCTTGAATAGCCTTGGTTTTGGTGTGCCACCCCAAGATTTTCATCGGCCCCATCTTGCCACGCCTATTAAACATTTCCGGGGGCACCGGTGGGTTTTGGGCCACCATGAGCCTCCAAAGCAGCTTTAACGCTCCTTGATTTAGATTCCTCAAGTCTCTGAAACTTTGCTTCATTATTTTCATATTCATCAAGCTACTCACTGATCCTTTGTGCTCTGTATGAAAACATTTGCATTCCTTTCTTTCTTGCATTCCTCATTTATTCATAGATTTCCTTTTTAATTCGTCACCTGTCTGCATCTCCCCTGTTATTCTATTAAAAATAGACTAACTTTTCAGCTCTTTGCACAGACCCAAAGTCCCACCCCACTTCAGGCTTGGCTTGCATTAGCTTTCATTGCTCAATCTAATCCTCATAAGGAGTTCTTTATTTTATTATTCTTTCTGAAAAGATGACTCACAATGATGGGGTTTTCTGTTCATGTTCTGCGCTGCATTGGTATCTATTGCCGCACTGGCTAGTAATGTTTTAACATGTCTTTATTTTAACAGAGATTTTGTTAGATTTAAACAACTACAGCTCCCTTGAGGCTTTGACAGTGCTTCTGTGACTAACGCTCATGGGATTTTTTGTTGTTAAATGCTAATAAAAGCATTGTTTTGTGCTCAAGTTTTACAATGCAGTGTAGAAGCAAAAAGTGTTGTGCGGCTCTCTGAACCTCAGTGGCATGATGCCAGGCTGTGCCCCCTTTTCACAAAATGTCACTTGTGTCCATGTCACAGTTGTTTTCCTCCAGTGTGCACTGTTCAGTCTCTTTCAAGTTCTTCCTAACCGGAGAAATTATTTCTTTCTTAACCCCTCTAATTGCTTCCAGTGAGTGCAAATCAAAGGCAATTAAAGTGATGTTTGAACTCGGCTGTAAAATAAGTGTAGCCTGGATTACCCCTGAGGAATGCATTTCTTTCCTATTTTTAACTTTGCCGTGTTTTGATTCGAGGCAGGCTTTAACTTTGTTGTCTTCTCGGGGTGCCGAGTAGTTTCTCAGCCTGAGCTGTCATCAGTTTACAGAGCATATTACCTCCCTGCTCGCACAAGTGTTTATGTTTAATGTGCAGAATCAAAGCGGCGAGTGTGATAGCTTAGCTGAACATGGCAGAAAACTATTGATTGAACCGCTGAGTCCTCTGAGCTTTTGATGAGCTAACATTTGCAGGGATCCATGACATCAGAGAGTAATCCTAATAGGTTTTTTTTGCCAGAAATCCTGGCACCCGCTCACTTATCTGATGCTGAACACTTTGTACTCCAGTTATCTGAGTCTTTGACACAAGTCTCGAGTTTCATTAAGCCGCATGGGCAAGCTGACTAAGCCCTTACTAAACACGATTTGGCATCTGTGCTCTATAAATTAGACTACACTGCCTACCACTTCGTACATGTAAAAAACCCACTACCTATGTAGACTATGTCTTGCTCTTCCTGTTGGTAACAAGACTCCAGCTCTTTGCGCTGACTCAATGTATCTGCAGGCTGCATGACAGCCCGAGAGGATGATGTCATTGTTTTGTCAGTGAAACTTGTCAGTGACTTACCTGTTTCGATGGGTTCTTCCAGTAAACGATGTGAGTATTTGTAACATATGCTCCCTGTCTGCAGCTTTCAAGGGTTCCTTTCATAGTCTTGAGTCACATCTGCAGCAAATCACACGCTGATGACTGATGACATCATGATGACCTATAATGCCTGTTCCAGTAGTGATGAGTGAAATATCTCATCTGGCTTGTCAGACCCAGACACACTGACTCCCCGGGTTGATTATTAAGTGTTATTAACAGATACTGCAGCAAAGTCAACTGAACATGACTTTTTATTTGTTTAGATTACCTGCATTTTGCTTTGATCTGCTGGTCTGTACAACATAATGATAGGTAGTGTAGTAACACAATGGCATTTTCAAGTACTTAAGTACTATATACATTTTTTTTTCTTGAGACAAGACCTACCGGCTTGACTAAAACTGTCTACAGTTTTACAATTGATCTGTATAAGGCTATGATTATAAACTATGCAAATCATTTGGTAACCATGGTTACATGTATGAATGTCAGCGTGGTTATTTTCCCTGAGCTGTTAAAACTGCTTCGCCTTTATCCGACTCTGTACTTTGTCAGTTCATTAAGCCTGTTAAAAAGTTTGTGACAGTGATCCCACAGTAATAAGCCCCGAATAATTACTATACAAGACTCATCCTTTTTGTACTATCACTACCTGTAAGTCTTTATTCATAACATGTGATCAGTTTGCAATCTTACATCATTAAAAAGGCTTATAATCGTTTATTTCCTTATGAGATCTTTGTGACACTAAAGACCATAAATATGCAGACCAGAAGCATTTACGTGCTGCATAAACTTTTGTCAGTCACTGGAATTTTATTTCATCACGTGGGTCCTGATGATGCAGGATAGGAATCACCAAAACTGTGTAATTAGTGAGTTAACTCCCGGTCTTCATAATTTCATGTTTAAACAGTGTAAACAGAAGCCAGACTAAAACTGAAATACAAGTGCATTTTTTTTTTACTTAAATCTGGTTAAAAATGAGGTTTTTAAAAGCATTAAATTAAAGTGTCTGTTGTCAAGTTCTTAATATTTAGATATTTGTCCACTTAAAAGATTAGTAGCTGTGTGATTTTTTTTTTTTTTTTATGTGCATTCTTTCCACAGCGCTTTTGTTAGGACACGTTTTCATCCACATAGCTGTCATCTCCTCATCTCCTCCTCCTCCTCACGTATCTCTAACGTCTGTCTGGTTTTTGTTCCCGTGTTTTCTTTTTTCCAGCTGACCCCGGGCGGAAAGGCAGCTCAGGCCGGCGTCGGGGTGGGAGACTGGGTGGTGTCCATCAGTGACACCAATGCAGAGGAGATGACCCATGTGGAGGCACAAAACAAGATCAGAGCAGCAACAGACTCCCTCACCCTCACCCTCAGCAAGTAAGTCATCTGGCGACGCATGATGCAACAAAACACTACATGATGGCCCCGCTCTGCACTTTATCTCGGTCAAACACAGCAGCATAAATCACCACAAAACGCATATCCTCCTTTTATTCTGTGGAGAGATAAAAATGCCCCTATGTCCTTGAAATTTGACTCAGTATGACAGATGGTTGCAAAGCACTTTGTATTAAAGTTATACACACACACACACACACACACACACACACACACACACACACACATACACATGCCATCATTTCATTTCCCTTAAGGCTTAGTTTTAAGTTTAGACCTGGACTTGAATTTAATTTTACTCATAAGTCACAGTAGAAGCTAATCAGGACAAAAAAATTAATTATTTCTGCCGTGGAGGTTAAGTTCTCAATCCTGTAGTAGTCAGTAGGATATTTGAAAACCTGCTGAACAGATTTCAGTGGATTTCGATGAAAAGTTAGTTCATCAGCCAAAAAAAGAACTACCCTGGTTTTGGTACGGATAGCACTTGTAAAGCATGTTATGTTTTTGCTCATTAATCCTGAACCATGAGGTTTAGCAGAAAAAAAAACAATTTCCCTGGATTCTTGGTCCAACCTGTATCTTTGCATAAAGGTGTGCCCAATTCCACCCACACTGCTTTTTCATTACTCCTTTCACAAATTGTACCCAATCTCCACAAAATTGTTACTGTGCACAGCATATTTAGGTGATCCATATTTAGGTTTTGATGTTTATCCCATGCTGTTTTCCTACAAATGTTTGCCAAGGTATCGCTGGCATTGCCAAGTTAAAATAAATTGGCAGATTTAATGAATGCATTCTGCAGTCGCAACCACAGTCATAAGACAGGTGCTCATATCAACCCAAACTTTGACATACTTTTTTGTACAAGGTCTATGGTACCAGGAATTAGGTATTTTCCAAAATTCAGCATTATCATTAATCAGTAGGTGTTTTCAGACCAAACAGTTCTGAGAAGCTCCCGCAAGAAGTGCAAACCTTTTAAGGGCGTTTTTGGTTTGCATTCCCACTGCCAATAGAAGAGACGTACTGTAAGCCAGCTGGCGGTTGGTATAGCTGCCTCACTTTAGCTTTGACAAGTCAAATTCGTGTTGCAGTTCCACTGTCGCATATATGCTCAGTTAATCCTGGACTTCACTGACGGGTACGTTACGAGCTGCTGTTTGTGTTTTGTGTTGTCTGTGGTTTCAACGGCTAACAGGTTTTTAAAAAATGACGATTGCCGTGGCTACATTGTCTGTGTTCAACCAGTCAACGTACACTTATGTTGCTTGTGGGTCCTCTTGGGCCGGAAGAATACCTATTGTGAACAAGGAGCTAGAAAAGTCCCTCAAAAAGATGTCCTAGGAACTATGAGTTTCTAGTTCTTACATTGCGGACACAACTAAAAGGGCGGTTCATAGGACTATGAAAAAGCTCCTCTAGCTCCGAACCATTTATTAAAGTGAAGAGAGGATTGTGCAGTCTTGGAGCTACATGCTCTCTGAATTCTTTCCGTCTCAGTGTTACGGTAATATCTGTCCTCATCATTCAAATGAATCAAGAGCCGGGGTTAGCAGTCTGCACTCAGCAGCAGATATGCATGCCAAGTACCGTCAGGTGGATACGCCGGCCTTTGTTTGGCTGAAATAAAGCGTTTTCAGAGGAGCCACAGATATTTAACATTATGTCTCAGCTTTATAATGAAATTAGTGAAACTCTTTCTTCAAATTAAAACACTTTGTTGTTACATATGAGCCAGGGAAAATCAATTTTTTTTCTTAATTTAGCTTCAATTATTTTAATTAGCACCGGATAACCCACAAACAGGCAGCTCTCATACCTGCTCACACAACTCCTGCCAGAAATTCCTGACTGATAAAGTCTCTCTGTAGAGTACAAGCCAAATGTTTCATCAGGAGCTTAATTATTAGAAAAAGAGATTTCTCTCCCAAAAAAAAAGATGGAACGTAACCACCCAAGAGTCTAGAGCCCTCAGAAATGAGAAGGTACTGACTTGTTCAGTAATAAAGATGAGCCTCGCTGGCATCATGGGACCACTTCTAAGTATCCCAAAATCAAAAAGTAAAGGGGTTGTGATCCCGGCTGTACGACGGCTATTTTCACATCTAGTTCATTTTGTTGTTGCCTGCCAAGAGACTCAGCTGTTACATGTAAGTTCTGACAAATCGTCTTTGTCCACTTAGGTTTGTTGAGCGTCAGAACAGCCGCGGGTCATTCCTATGGCTTTCAACAAGAAAACAGTCAGGACATAAAATAATACTTTCAGATGTGGAGATCATTGTGGATGTTACGCCTCACTCCTCTCATTTTCATACAATATAGATGTCTCTGCTCACATCACTAAATCCAGTGGGCTTACCGGTTTGTGTGTTCCCTTTTTAAAATGGGTTTATTGATTTCGCAACATGAAATTTGGAGACAGGAAGTTAAAATTTCATAAAACACAGCTGCTGTGAATAGTTGATATGATTGATTAGTTGTTTTTTTTTTATGGAAAAATGCCAGATGTGAGTCGGCTCCAGCCTCTGAAATGTGAGGATGTTGCTTTTCTTTGTCATACATGATAAAAATCTGAATGGTTTTTGGACTGTTATTCGGGCAAAACAAGACATTTGAGGAATAAACTCAGGCTGTGATAATAATAATAATAATAGCCTTTTTTCACTTCATTTTTTGACATTTAAAAGTAATCAACAGATAAATCTATAATGAAAATAATCATCAGTTGCAGCCCTAATACAAACAGTGAACACGAGACATAGTGGTGGTGTTGACTTGAATATTGAGACATAATCCTGAATCGCCAAATATAGCAAAGCAGATATTAAGCTACTGAGAATATAGCTTGAAAAGAGGTGAGAAAACACTAAAAGAGAGAAGAAGACAGAGTAATGGAGGGAAGATGAAGAGATGAGGAGGGGAGCGGCAGGTAGAGGTTGAGCAGAGTACAGACATTATTAAACATGAGGGATCAAATGCAGACGATTGAGGTGGGGAGGAAGATGCCAAGGCTTTGTTGAATGTCACCACTGCTGCAATCTTGTGTGTAGTATGTGGTGTTAGTAAATATTGCAGCAGGTTATGTCACATTGTGCCCAGCGATGATGAGAGCTACTGTATCTTGCAGAGATGTTATAAAAGATAATGCTATCGTTGCTAACAAAGGGCTGCAATTCCTTTTTCCATGCAGCCATCAAGACACATTGCTGATGTTGCATGTATTTTTTTTTCTGCAGAAAGAGGTCACACACACACACACACACACACACACACACACACACACACACACACACACACACACACACACCCTACACTTCGACCTACTAAATGCCTTAAAAGGAGTGTGAGGGAGAGAGAGCAGTAGAATCATGGGTGGGGTTTTCCACAGTGAGATGGAAAAGGAAAGGAGAATTAGAAAAGAGACATCGAGAATCTTGTTGGCTTTTGTGGTGAGGGGATAAGACGTCATGCTCTCTGCACAGGGGCGGAGGAGGGTTAGTTGCATCGCTGGGTAGAGTACTGTAAATCTATACTTAAGTAAAAGTACAATTACTCCCATAAAAAAATCACCCAAGTAAATGTGAAAATTTGAGAAATCTACTCAAGTAAAAGTAAAATAGTTCCTGGTTAATAAATGATTCAGGCAAATAATAAAAAAGATGAATTGCTGATAAAACTTTTTTAATGAAGTAGAGCAGGTAGGTTAATCAAGCAGATAAGGAAAGCCTATAAAACTGAGGTATGACCCATCTCTTCCTCTCTACCCCTCTCTTTCGTATCGTAACACTAAAGATTAATGTCACACCTAAGAAGTGAACACAGCTAACCTTAGCTAGCTAACTACATTTTCACCTACAGTATGTGTCACTTACTTCAGTATGCATGCAGAGGTTAGAAGAAGAGTTTGTAGAAGCAGACATCTTATGGCCAAAATACATGGGACACGGTTGCAGCATGACACGTCTGACTCAGCAGAGCGTCTGCCCCGTCCTGCTGATCGAGCACCATTTGAATTTTGGACATTGTCAGGCTCCCTCTTTGCATCACCAGTTTGATCTGCATCGCAGTGAATCAGTGGCTTCCAATACACAATGAATGGGAGCAAATTTCTGGTCACATGTGGTCACGTATAGTGGGCGTGCAGTGTTACAGTGACCATGGAAGCCATAATTTTACTTGGCTGGTGTATTTATTTTTTTCCACATGGGGCTCTGCGGCCCTCCAACAGTAGTAAAGACTACACAGACCTGTGTATTAAAAAAAAAAAAAAAATCTGTACAGTCTTATTAAAGAAAGATTAAATTGAATACCTGCTTGTACCAGAGAAAAAGCAAAGCAGCAGAGCAACCTTGTTGGTGTCGTTACATTTATAATTGAAATAAATTAATCAAATCAATGTATCCTGCAGTTAAAGCAATCCAGTTTATCAATTCAGTACCAGTTAATAAAGCCTATATGCTTCCAAACCTTGCATAACCAACTGTGTTTTCAATTGGCAAAACTCAATACACACAAAGTGAAGCTGCCTCCAACCGCACGCTGCAAAGACAAACTTTGCGTTCCAATACCCATACTAAGATACTGCATAGTGTTCCATAGTATGTCAAAAATACCGGGATGTTCTACTACATCCGGTCGGATTTTGCAGTATGCAAGCCAGCATGCTTCTCTGACAATCCTCTGCGTAGCAAAAGATACATCACATCGACTATCAGAAGTCCTAATGACGTATGACAGTGCATTCAGCTGACTTTTGACCAGTCGATTAGTAATAATAGGGATGTTAATTGTTCAATTAAATGAAGTAATCAAATGATCATAGATATAACCAATAATATAAACAGATAGCCTATGTAATTTTACTATTATGATATGTTAGAATCTACTATGTACGTCTTCTTATTGCAGAATAAAAACATTAGAGCTCTATGGGTTGACCTCCATCCCTGGCGAGCTTGGTGAACAGCATTTTGTTTTATCTCCATGGTAACGGATATATGAGTGAGAGGGTCAAAGTTCAGGGCATAACGTTATGAGGAAGTAGTATGTTCAGATTGTGTGCATACTCCATGTAACAGTACGTACATTTTAAGGGCAGCTTCAGCACCTACATAAAGTAAAAAGAGAAAGAAGTATGCGATTCAGAACGCACCCAAAGTTGGTATAGCAGGTGAAAAACCCTGCTCGCCTCCACCTACATGATATGTTTCATCTGTGCCCACTGTGTTTTGGCTGTTAGTCTTATTAGATTATGGTATGACAAGTGTGGTCAGGTGTGGTGAGGGATTGTCAATGGAAACTGCCTCTTGTTCTGGGTTTTACTCCGTCATCATCACATTGTGTTTAAAAGACGGGTGGTGCTGCTTTTTCTTCAGGTAGCTGGCAACTTGAGGTGCTCCTTGCTTTCTCCCTACACTCAATCCCTGCATTTACAGCAGACTAGTTGTAACAAAGGGATGAATGGCAAATGTTGTGAAGTAAAAAGATGATTACTGGCTCATGAATTAACCCTTAAAGTAAAGAGTATAAGCACAGTTTAAAAAAGAGCATGAAAAGTATTCACTCCTCCTACTTTTTACGTATTCTTAACTTGTGATGAATAACTGCCCACCCCTGGTTAGTTTTCATCCATGAGCCTGATGTGCCCCCTGTCTGTCCAACAGAGATTCAGACCTCAAACTCAGTCTTTGATTATTAATGACGTAGCCCACAAACATATTTTGAATCCGGGATGCGATTTTTCTGTGAGGCTTGCCTCCTTGCTGTTTTCTGGCGCATCTGCTCTTCCAAAGCCTGAAAATGAATTATGGAAACATACACTGGTATTTCTGCTATTTCACACACAGAAGATGATTTGCTCGTCACAATATGTTCTTTGTGTAACCATAACACACTTCATCGCAGCGAAAGTTTGCTGTAGTTATTTCCCTGTAGGTTAGAGAATTTTTTTATCCTGTGAAGGAAGATGAAGACGGGATGTTGACGTGTGACATGTGTTAAGAGGGATTATATACCAAATCCAACTGTGGCTTTGTGTGTGAAATATTATTTAAAACAGAATGTTGTTGGCAGAAAATATTGTTGCGGTGCATTTTAGAAGCTTTTTTAATGAAAGCAAGGCTCTCCTGTGTTACCTTTATCTCCCAGGGAGTGGTGTAATGTTTTGATAAGCCCGTAATAAGCCGGCATGTTTACTTAACATCAGCCATACTTTTTTCCTGCTTTCTGTGGTTTGCCTCCTCTATTTCTCATCTCCATGTGGAGTCCAGCTATTGTAAACATTTCACATTCTTCCGCTCTTGTTTTTTTTTGCTTTTTACCCATGACTCCCTTCCCATGAATCCCCAGTCTCCTCTCTTCATCTCGCCCTCTCCTATTGTTATTATATTGTAAGACAAGCAAATATTGTTTTCCCGAAACGCTTCTCAGAGAGGAGCTATTGTCAGTTTTATTTATTCGTATCTTGGCTGCCATCCACGGTTTCTTTTATGTCAAGAGAGGAGGACAGCTGCACGGTGATGAGATATGGTCTATTGTTTGGTTTAGTGCCTCATTTTGTTCAACACCAATGATCATTTGGTGTCATTTTTATGGGGAAGGTTTAGGCTGTACCCAGAGCCTTTTCTTGGGAGCGGAAATCCAAAAAATATGGGCAATAGATTCTCAGCTTCAAAGAGAGGAGGACACGTAGCAGCTACAGGGACGCACTAGGTCCATATTTCAGTGCTCTCTGTCAGTGATTGGCGGAGGGTTGTGGTTGTGGTGATTACGGTATCTTGGGAGGTTTTTTTTTTTTTTTTTCCTGTGGCGAAATCTGTGACTTTCTCACATCAGCTTGAAAGCCAAGCATGCATCAGTTAAGATAAGTGACCCGTGAAATGAGGCAGGAAATGATCTCATAGTGTGCATATTTAGTTTCAGCACAGGTCCAGGCGAACTAACATATTCCATGAAACAGTGACTTAATCATCCCCACATTTGTTCATTTAAGGCCAGTTTGCCGAAATGAATACAGTACATGGCAGCTGTCACACACATTCCCTGTGTATCCCCGCCTTTAAGTGTGTCTCATCTGATTGTTGGTTAAGGCGAGCTGAAGCGCTATGAATGTCACATTGATTTGTCTTCCCACAAGTGTGACACGCACGGACATGTTGGTATGCCTTCCCCTCGCTCCTCTCCTCTCGGTATCTATACAGCCCTGTTGTCATCCTGTCTTTAACATTGCTCTATCAGCAGCTGAGCAGGCAATGACATGAGCCGTTATTCATTTCTCATTGTCGCAGGAAGCGCTGCCCATTGTTTTGTGTGCGTATGACTGTAGCCTGAGACAATGAGGGTGACTGCAGGGCTGGTTCAACCCTGCTGTAGCTTTGTGTAGCATGCAAACACTGGGCAGGGGATAGTGGTGGTTTATGTTTTTCTTTTTTCTTTTTTTATTGAAGGAGCCAGCAGCGATGTAAGGCTGAGGGCCTCCATGTTTAACGTGTCAAGATATTTTAATGAACCGTCTGCCGTGTTGCTCCAGTCAGCAAAGGCACTGCAGTAATGTGAATCCTGGGATTAGAGTTAAGAAGGGTACTACACTGTGACACTCGCAGTATTTTTAGTTGAGTGGGTGAATCTGCGGACAGTCCAAGATTATGTGAAGAAAGGGTTGGTGTTTGTAAAAGCCACAGCAGGGAAAAATATCAGAATTTCACACCCTGGTTCTTTTCTCTCATCACTTCTAGGGTGGTAAGAAAACACTGATACATTTGAGTATCACAGTATTATGTTTTGTGATACTGTATTGATTCTGAAACACAATAAATTTTGTTTTAATGGTTTACATTTTTTTATTAAGTTTTTTTCCTTCAAGCCCTTTATTTTAATTTTTACTTATACAGGAAAATGTTATCTCACTCTCTTGGAAAAAGTCCAGTAAACTGAAGTCCATTAGTTGGATTAAAGAGTTAGCCATAACTCTACCTCCGGAGAAGATGACGCATCATTAAAGGGAAACAATCACTCTTTAAAAACATTTGGGGACCTTTCCTACAATATATGGAGACTGCTGATTTAAGTATTGTGACAAATGTGGCGGACGAGTTGTACATGTAGCGGTCCTCTGCAGTTGCCTGAATTATTCAACTCCAGTAATACTTGATTGTACTGGTGTGTTCCATGTGAACTATGTCTTACAGTTTGATTCAAGGTACAAATAATGAAAGCATGACATGTATATAACAATATGGGAACCCTCTTTGGAAAACAGGGCAACCTTTTTTTTCATTGGTTTATTTTATTACGTATAATCAATTATTATTATTGTTTGCATTTTGTAATCTTTAAAATGTCTGACATGTAAGGGAATACTTCACTTTGTTGTTGGACAATAATCTCTGTGCTTTTAGCATTCTTATGGATGAGAAAGCAGTCACTTTCCAGTTCTTATAAAGTATTTGAAAATTGATATAGATATTGCTTAAAAAAACAACAACAGGAAAATGTTAATACCTCTGCTCAGACTGCACAGTAGTGCATAGTGCCATGAAGTTGGATGTCAGGGACAGTGATAAATACAAATGCAGGTCCTGACTGCATAAAATAAGTTTACATTTTAAGCACATATGGTGTTAGGGGGTAATTATGTACATGGGATTAAATAACAAAATAAATGCAATGGTATTTAGTTATAGTTACTGAGGAAAAAATATGTAATTAAATTACAGTTACTGTTAAAATGAAGGGGATTACAAAGAGGTTTTAATCTATATCCAAATATATTCTTTTCGATAAGTAGTTGACATGGAGATATGCATCTTTTTGCCATGCAGGATTGCCTTCTTCTGGTGGAGCTAATCAAATATAATAAGGCACATCACCTCAAGTGTGAAGTGGTTAAAATAATTAAAATACTTATTACATTTTTAACAGGGCAACCTGTGCATAGCATGGTGTTTTTATACTCTGACAGTCTCCAAAATTAGATTGAAAAAACTGCAAAGTATCACCTTGCTTACAGTATTGCAATATATTGCAGTATATTGAATATCAACCCCTGTACCAGTGCATCTTGTATTCGTTATATCATATCTATCACTTCTCCCATCTTTTGATTAGGTTAGCTGTTGAAATATGAACGTAGGGGGACTCTGCTTGAGACAGCATTGCAGTGGAGTCCATTTGGCATTACAGACAAAAGCAGTATGAGCAAACAAGTACAGTTCAACCCCCTTATCTAAACCACATGTTAAGATATGAAAACAAAACTAAGTTATGACCAGACTGCCAGCATCCTGAATCTAACAGCAGAATCTGCAAGGCTACGTCTTGCTTCAGCCGCACATGTGCTCATGTAGTTGTATGATGCACTGGATCATAATAATGGACAGTTTGGGTGCATTCTCTTTCATTCAGGCATCTGTGAGTGGTTTAGATAAATGGGTTAAACTGAGCTTGATTAAAAGCTGTCTGATCGCTTGTTTGCAACACGCCTTGTAAAACGGTCTCAAGCGGAGTTCCCCCCAACTTCCTGTTGAAGCACTTAAGCTTGTAGTCTGAATGTTGTCTTAACTAATGGGAAAGATGGCCAAAGCTACAACAACAAGACTTGCATTACATTACACAACCACTTACATTGTTATCTTTAATTTGGTGAGATGTCAACATCATACTGCAAAAAGTCTAATGTCTGGAATCAATAATTAAATTTGATAGAATGACACAAACACAACTTTTCCTGTGATAGAAACATTGCAGACTTTGAGAAATTTGAAAATGGCTGTTCAGTATGTTAACTTGAATGTGTGAGAGTGAGTTTGTTGTAAGTATATGTTCTAATACTTGCCCCTGTCTTCACAGAGCCTTCAAAGCTGGCGAAAACCAGAAGGTAAGACTGCATTTGTCTGAAACGCTGAGCTCACCTCTGTGTGAACACTCAGAGGCTTTGGCATGGTCTGCTACTGGACTACAGTGACAATGATTGAATTTGAAACTTCCTTTAATCGTTGCTCACGATTGGCCTTAACAGTGTGTTCTGTCACTTTGCGTTTAAATTCATCTGATTCACCCGAGTCACCTGTCAAGCTCTCACAGAGTCCATGCACTGTGCATTAGCAAAGCATCACTGAGTTGCTAAATGAGTTGTTTGCTGGATGGAGTGTTGTGAATATTGCTTTTGGAATTTCCTGTGGTTCAGTTTGCGATGCCTTGCACAATCCCTGAAGCCAGAGTAATACCGGTGCATTTAGTTTCACTGTCAGCCCTCTTGAGAGCTACTTGCCCGGCTGATCACGGTGTGAATAGTACAGCGGTGTCACGAACTGCTTTGTGCTGCACGCTGTTTTCAGCAAAGCACCAGGAACATAATACTTTCCACAAAGTCAATGTTCTATTTTGGTAGGTGTTCTTTTGTAGTCCAGACGTAATGCTCAGTAAGAAATCTCATTAGTGAGACATGTCAGTCAAATATGACAATTTTTCACTTTGAGCATTTTTCCTTTTTACCAGCAGTAGCAGATTACTTTGGCCAGTCCTTGGCAGACTGCCAACACAAATAAAATGGCTGTGTTCACACTTCTTAAGCACTTCTTCCGTGCACAGAGAAAAGCCTGCGGGCTTTGACAGAGCCCGGAGTAATAATTTGCAATGAAAAAAAATACCGGTCTGCACTGGAAGCTTACTTAATATAAAGCTAGGGATTGTGCAAAAGCAGAGGGAACTTTCACTGTGTGTGTCAGAAATCTCTAACTGCATGTTGTGCGCTGTGCTGCATTGTCTCCCTCTCCCACACCCTCGTAGGACTCGCTCGCTGCGGCTTCTGTTCTGCCAAAGTACTCCTTTGCCCCCAGCTCAACCATTAACAAGATGGCGAGGCCATTTGCAGCAGGTGGTGGTAGTGCCAACTCAGGACCTGCTATTAAACCTGTGGCCTACTCTCCTAAACTTAACACCCCAAGCTCACAGGGCCGTGCCAGTATGCAGCAGCCACAGAATGGGTAGGTGAATGAATAAACACTGTTCCCTGTGGAACCACAATGTGACTAATATGGATTTAATGGTATTTCTGACATCTCATTATTCTGGCTTTACACTAAAGAGAAAATAACCCCGTCGGGATTTCCAAATTGCATTGTGTTACAAATTTATTTCAGAACATTGGCAAAATCACGTCACAGATTTTAAGAAACCTTCCAGAGAAGATGAACGTAAGGATTGTGTGCTGACTCACTGCTGGGATCTTCTTAATTACTCCATTGTCTGCCACTGCCAGTAATGTAACAAACAAGATGGCAAACATACAATGCCTTTTGTGTAAACTTATGCTGTTGTTTAAAACACCAGCAGTAATAAGCTGCCATTATAGACTGCATCTTGAGAGACTCTGGCCATAGAATAATTTTGGGGGAAAAGACAAATCAGAATCTGGGTTATTGCCAAGTAGGTTTTCACATTCAAGGAATTTCCTGAGGCATTTTGCTGCATAACAGAGACTTAGTAAGAGAAAATAAAATTAAAAATAAAAGCAACAGTTCAAGAAACATAAATCTTTTTTTGGAAACACGTCTAAATTATCTTGTTGGCTTTTATCATCCAGATGAAAGCAAACACTTAGCAGGGGATATTTAGCTGACGTATGCAATTCAAGATGGCTTCCTCATCCAGCTGAAAGACCTCTGCAGTGGATTTTATTGGACGACGAAAACAGCTTTACAGAGATTAGTGAGAGATGTGTCAATAATCAGTCGCAGTTTTTTAAAGCTGGTGTTTTGCTTTTTTGGCCAGTGTAGACGTTGTGATTTATGTTTGTGCAAATAGATTTTTTTCCCATCTTACCCTGTTTTATTCCCATCATCCCCACTTTGTGTTTGTGTGTGTAAGAAAGAGATGGAGAACTACCAGAAAGTAAGACTTTTGAAGCTTTGAGTAATGTATGATTTCTTGTAAAACAGTCCACCTCTCCAAACTGATTTGCTATTTAAACAGATGAGTTATTGACCGACTGTGATTATTACTTCTATCTTGCTTCTCCAGTCAGCGGTGTGCTGTGGAGAAATGGCAGATTGGATTTTCAGGTCCAGTATTTCTCAGCTGTTAAAAGCAGTGTGTCATGGTCCTCGCTTTTTTATCACTAGAGATTACATTACATCTCTCTATTTACATTACGCTTAAATATAGGGCTGGCACAGTATTAGATTTTCACTGCAATATTGTCATTGCCAGAAATGTTCACGATAACGGCTCATTTCGATATCTATAGAAAATTTGAAAAAATACTACTAATAATAATGCTGTCAGTCAAATTTATCTTATATCTTTATCTTTATTGTGAGTTTTATCTGTTTTTGGAAAATAAATTACACTCAAAATACGAGTGATGAGAAAGTTTGTCACCATAACTGTGCACAAGTGTACAAAAAGTGCAGTTACACTTGATGGATAATAAAAAGGCAATCATTTGGAGACAAAGCAAGAACAGAAAGACTTGGAAATGATTTAAAAAGTACTGGCTTATTTACACATTGCTATGATATGTGTATTATTACCATAATATCAATATTTAATTAATATTTATTTAATTTTTAAAGTTCAGTTATTGTCAATACTGGTATATCGCAGCACCCCCAGTTCAAAATATCAGTTTAAACTTCCTCTTCTTTAATAGTTTTATTTTCAAACCATTGATTCTCTCTGCATTTACTTCAGCGACAAGGCCATACAGCTAGTTATTTGTCACCAGGAGTAATGATAGGAAGTCTCAATCACACAGCATCTGTTTACTCTTTGCTTTTAAAGCCTGGAAGGAACTTAATTTATTAATGAAATAAATTTCATGGGCCAAGGTAAAGCGGCTAAACCAGCTCAAAGACGGAGCCCCGTTGTCCCTCAAGTAAAAATTCGATCTGTTGTGTTGGAAAAGTGAATCTTCACTCTCTCTCCTTGAAAACTTCATTGATCAATTTGGCCTCTGAGCTTTTTATGGTAAATAATTGAAATAAACAGTAGCTTGGTTGCAGAGCTGACTATTTTGAAGCTGTTGGAATGCTGCTATGATCCCTGCGGTGTATTAAAAATGAAGTTAACGCTCCCATGACTGAACTCTTGCTGCTATAATTGCATGAAAGTCAGAATTCTTCAGTTTTTTTATTATTACCTTTCAGACTTTACAAGGATCCCAGAAATGGATCAGATGCATTTTTTAAATGATCCAGAAAGTTGCAGTATGGCTGGAAATGGTCTTCAAGGATAGGCCAGTGTGGTTCCTGTAATTTGGGTCATGTTCGTGGTAGCATGGCCTGGCTGCAGCCATCGCTGAGATGTGGCCTGTCGCTGTATTTAGCCCCACTCATAAATTCTGCTGTGTTCTCAGCAGCTTTTACTGCCCTGGTGCTGGATTATTTAAGCAGCCATACTTGCTTAGTCTCGAGAGGGCTCACATGGTTGTGAAGTTTCTCTGCAGATGGCCGAACCTCATTCCTCCGGCCATTTTTGAGAAGAGTAGAGCCTGATTATAACTGCCAGCCCACTTTTGATGAAGACATTGTTGGATTTCTCCAGACGGTAAACAGTTCAATGCAAACAGCATATGTCTAATATGTTCAGGCCTGTCATATTGAAACAGGTTTTGTGTGATGTTGTTTGTGCAGAGCTTACCCTGACATCATGATGCGTCACCGCTCTGGCATTTATCGTTGTTGACGGGGTTTCAGAGCTCGAGAAAAATAAGACTTACTGCGAAGGCTCAGGAATCAGGGTTTTTCTTTTGTTTTTTGGCAAATGTTGTAGCCATTTAAATAACTCTGTAAAGCATTTGTGCACATGAGTAAGAGGAACGTTGGACAAAGGTTTGTGCCAAATCTACCGAGTCATTTTGGGTCAGGGTGACAATGGATGATTTGACAGACAAACAATGCCGTCTTTCTCTCACAGACCCTGTTGACAATCACGGCATGTCTCATGGAAACCTCTTGCATGCTTGTTGCATCCTTCAGCATTTTTGATCTTCACTTGTGCACAACCTCTGCCGCGCATTGACATGTTCTGCTTTTCTTTCTGTTTAACTCTGAATTCTTTTACTCAACTTCTGTTTTTCTCTTTTCTTTTAACGCTGCAGGTGGAAGCTCCTGAAAAGTTAGTATATTTCTTTTTTTTATTAACAGTCACAATAATTCCCATCCTTTATTATAGTGGTTCCCAACTTTTTGTTTTGTGCTTCTTTGCTTAATTCAACTCAATTTTATTTATAAAGCCCAATATCACAAATCACAATATGCCTCAGAGGGCTTTAGAGCATATGGAAACCCTCTGTCCTTAAACACTCACAGCAGATAAGGAAAAACTCGCCAAAAAACCCTTTAAAAGGGAAAAAATGGTAGAAACCTCAGGAGGAGCAACTGAGGAGGGATCTCTCTTCCAGGACGGACAGATGTGCAACAGATGTTGTGTGTACAGAGCAGATCAACATAATAAATTAACAGTGATCCATGTGATAAAATGACACCAAAAGAGTGGGAGAGACAGAGAGAGATGCAGGGCAGGCACTAATGACAATAGCTATGATAACATTGATTTTAGTAATAATGAAATAATAATAATGTAGATATTAGTATATGCATGTGACAATGACAATCATGTGTGTACAATAATGGTAGAAGTATGATAATAATGTGTGCTTGTTTGCATATGCTTGCTGGTTGTAAGCAGTTGTGATTCAGAAAATAATAGATATTTGAATAACAAGAAAAAGCCAAAGATTAAAGGAAAGTCTAAAAACAAACATATCTTGATCATCAGGTTTATATCACCACTCCTTTTGGAATTAATGCAATCAGAACAGCAAGATATTTTTTTGTCTTTATCACAGTCCCCATAACATTCAGCAACATAGCACTATTTTTTGTGTAGTCTGGACAAAGGATTTAACATCTAACTATAGCAGTGAAAAAACAAAAATAAAAAATCCTCACAGGACTCTTTAGGTAAATAAATTAAGGAAATACAACATAGCAAACAATTAAAAATCAAAACAGTGTCTTTGAGAATTGATACAGTATCACAAAATAATATTGCGATATTCAAATGTATCTATTATCTGCTCTTCGACAATCCATGTAACTATTTCCTTATAATTCACCACTTACACTGGATCATCTACCGTCCCACTCTTTATATTGGACAGTTTTAAGTTGCAATCAGGATAAAACTAGAAATGCAATGTCTAAAAGCTCTTTAAAATATCTTACATTTTATAAACATCCCCTATTTCTGCTGTCTCTCCTCTGTTAACTTCATACAACCTTTGGTCTGTTCTACAGGGGTGAAGCAACTTTCTATGATGATACGTACCAAGCGTCCAAGTAAGGGGCAGCTGTGTGCATGCTGGTTTGTCAGCTTATTAGGTTTACAGAACAAACAAAGAGAGATGCCAGTTCTTTAGTAGTCATCTATCTTTCATCCTCTCCTTGCTTGTTGATAGATGCATGCTGCAGTTGACCTGCAACCGTGTTGAAACAATAAGTTAAAAATGATTTTTTTTGTGCTGCTTCTTGAGTTGTCCAAAATAAAAGCTAATATGGAGTAATGTCCACAAACTAGGCCGGGTACTTCAGTCTGGCAGATTTTCTCCCATTGATTCTAATGACAGTTATAAATACGAACTCTAATGTGGTAATGTCCATTTATGAGCGTCTACAGTGTGCCCATGAGAAATCTAGGTAATGGATATCCATTAGCTCGCTTATTGCGTGGCCGTGATGCTGAGCATTAAGTATTGCATGATCTGTTCAGGATGTCCTCTATTTTCAAGGTCATCTGATTAGCTGGGTTGGTGTGAGTGGGTAGTCCCTAGATGGGATTGTGTTAACCACACCTGCCGTGTGCTGCTGCTGGGTGTGTGTGCAGGCACGGCCTCAGGATGGAGACCCTGCCCTGTTTCATCCCCAACGACCGCAGCAAGAAGAGGCTGATCCAGGACACTGAGGACTGGCAGCCCCGCACC